AAAAAAAAAATCTTGGCTTTTTTTTTTTTTTAAAAAGGCTGAACCAAGGCCGTTGTGCTGCAGGAGGTGTTGGCACAAGGCCGCACACGTCAACGAGGGCAGAGACACAGTGAGGGCCTGCAGGACACAGGGCTGGGCAGGGAACACACCTCAAAAACCATGGTGCAATAAAACAATTTGCAGTATCAGTGTATTATTTTGCAGCAGTGGATTACTGCATGAAAATTGAGTTCCAGCACACGGTATGGCAGCAGGAATACAAAGCCCAGCAACGCTGCTCACCTGGCACGAGGCTGCACATTTTTAGTCCTGTATCTCCTGCAAACACCAGCACAAATCTCCAGCACAGTTTAAGTTATCACATATTGGCTGCTGACCCATCCGTCAAACCCACCTCTGGTTTGGTGACTGGGAGCTTCCTGAACTCCCTGCGACTTCCACGCGCACAGATGCTTCCTTGCTCATCACTTTTGCTGCAAAATCTACACATCAGAACCTGCCACTGCAAATATTATTTCAATGAGCACTTGGATAAAAGAGGAAAGTTCCATCCATCTCTCCCAGTCTGCACTAACGACCAGCCTTAATATCCCCATTTTCTCTGGAAAGTATTTCTTTTTGGTCCGGAAAACACAAAGATTGTGCCACTTTATGTACAACATGAAATGTCCAGTGTCTGAATTATCACCAGCCTTAATATTACCACAGGGAAGAGCTGAACTGCTAAAACTACACCCAGGACCACAGTGTTTTATTTCTTCTAGTCTAGAATCCATAAACAAAAAAATTTATTTTTTTTTTTCCAAAAAAGCTCCAGCCACTATTTAGATCCCCAGGGAATTCTCTGTTGCGTCACATCTTTCTAGAGGTAGATTAAAGGGAAATTTTAAGTAAGATGACACAGTTGTTTTAATTCTATTATCCCTTAGGCTTGGGCATTAAGAAGTCAAATGACACCTACCTGCACACAGGTAGAGCATCTGCTCTCTCGGGAACTTGCAGAAATATTTTGTCATCTAAATGCTTTTTATTCAAACCCACAGAGTTTGACTCTTAAATTTGTACCCCTGAGACACAAGGAGCCTTTTTTTTTTTAAAGTCAAGATGAAGAAAAACCCGTTCCCTCTGACAAAGCCGGTTTTAACACATAGCTTTAAAATTCTAAACCTTCAGTGTTTCCAAGGGGCTACACTGATCTCTCACAGTCCAGGCTGCAGGGTGGCCTTTAAATCAGCTGCTTTGCTGATTATTCATCCATAACATGAAGGGGTTTATGAAGATGGCTACAGAAACTGGGCTTAGGATCCATCTCAGGATGGTGACATTTGACCAGAACAATTCTCAGCAGCTGTTTGAAAGGCTCAGACACCAAACAATTCCACCTGTTGTTGAAATTCCACCAGCAAGGAATGCAAGAAGCATCTGGAAGTCTGAACAAGACTCCAGGAAGTGCAAGGGTTAGGCAAGGAGAGATACCACTGGTTTGAGAAAAGCCTCAGCTTGGTCATCCTCTCATGACCCAGAGTTTCTTCATGCCAGGCTCTGCTGCTTACAGCAGTCACAAAGAGCATTCCTGCTTTATTCCAAGCACAGGGTACAAAAAAAAAGATGTTTTGACTGAGTTTTCTCTTCTTTCCTCATTTCTTTCACAGCTGAAGGTAAAGTGTCAGCTAAAAAACACCCCTTGCCACAGCTGGATTTGCTCCATGGAAGATGGTATCCTACAGATCCAATGGTTTGTCCTACTGAACTGATGCTGTCATTTGCAAGGGTTCTGGAAGTTGCTCTGGTGCCTCTCTAAATCTTCAGGAAAAGTTCTTGTCTGGGAATCCAGCACTACCAGTGGCCTCCAAAGTGCTGCTCCTTATTGGAAAAAGAGGCATTTCTGAAAGGGTAAGTCAGTGGCCCAAAGAGCTTTCATTCTAATTTTTGTCTTGCTTGAGTTTGCTTAAACTCAAGGGAAGTTTTCTTAATCAACTGATCCTTCAAGAGCCCTTGCAGGGCATCAGATGTACTTTGATGCTGGAAGGGGGGGAGACCTAAATCACCAAAACCAGCATAAAATTCACCACAAAGGGTGTCCTTTGAATCCAAGTCTCCCTGAAGAATATTCCTTTCTAAATAAGAAACACTATTTACTATTTGTACATTTTAACAACCTTAGTCTTTCCTCAGCACTCCAAAGTCATTCTTATATTGAGATTGTTTAAACCTACAGGTCTTCCCACAGTTGTCATTCCCACTGCAGCTCCTCACCAACTCATCCCTTGTCCTTCTCCAGCACCTGCTGCCCTTCCCTTCTGGGATCTCTGCTGACACTCAGCCACTCCTTTCCCAGCACCACCAGCCACACCTCACCCCTCCCATGCAAACTGAAATTCTTCAGGGACAAGGGTTAAAACTCTTCCCTCAAAGGGACTCCAACCACTCCATAAATACCAGCTGGGGCTCCCAGCACCTCCATGTTAGAATAAGACCACTATCCCATGGAGTTAGGGAAGGAACCAGGGAACCCCTGTAATTAAGCACCTTGAGGGTCAACCAAAAACTTAAAAACAGGGATCAAAATTCCATCTTTCATTTATCCTCACACTCCTACATCCTAAACACCCAGGAGAAGTGCTGTGCCACCAATTCATTCTGACACTAAGCACAAAAAAGCAAGACAAATTACAGGATTAAATTATTCCCTATCAGAACACATTTAGTTTGGCAACTGGTTACAGCCAGAATGAACAAACCTCAATAATCCAGAGAATGAAATGTATTAATTAGCATGATAATATAATTAAGACTGATCCAAGTTATTTGCTTTCAGATTGTCTTTTAGTACTCCACAACAGTCCATCACAGCAGCTCACACACTGTACTCAGGAGAGGCCACTATCTAAAACTCTAAGAAAAATATTTCAATTTATTGTTCACTTTTAATTTAATAGATGATGATCAAGGAAGCATCTCATTTTTCACTTTCAGCTTTGAAAACAAATTGCTATTCCTTAGAAATCCAGTTATTTCCAACTGGCTGAAGCCTAGGAAGTCTCCTCTCTTGGAGGCAGTCACATTATTCCTTTTCATTAATGTTGCAATAACAGACACAATAGAACCAGTATCCAACAGACAAACAACAGCACTTATGTTACACTGCCTTGGAAGTAATGAAGTGAAGGTACTGGAGAGGAATATTCCTGCTGGAAAATAATCTCACTTTGACCTTAACCCTTGCAGAGATGCTGTACCTGCTCTGATATTGCAGTTATCTTGGGGCAGCAATTACCTTAGTGTTACTTCAGGGATTTTTCTTTTGTTGAGAACACCTCCATATGCCAGGACAGAAATCCCTCTCATGTTACCACTTGGAGTATTTCCTTACACTGTTGGCACTTCAGCAGATTCCATTTCAGGGCAGCCTTTGACTCCCAGAACCCCTTCTGAACCAGCACTTCAGGGCACCCAACACTGACCCTTCACAAGAGCCCCCTCTGGATGGGTGTGATCCCCAGGGTGAGGATTTTCACACTGATTTCCAGGTGTTAACATCTGTCATTATCTGCCCTGCACATGAATAAAAACGTCTCACTAAAGGTACCTGAAACAAAGTTTTGGTTCCACCTTCAAGAAGGTCCTGTCCATTCCACAACTGAAGCTGTGTGAGGGACTGGAGCCTCACCACACCCTGAAGGCAGGGCCTTACCACCCACAGGACTCACCAGGGCACTGCATCCAATTATGACTTTCTCCATTCTTTTTCACTTTAAAGCCATGGGAGGAATATTAACTAAATTGCACAGCAATCACTTCAGAACACATTATTTGAAAATTGTGGGTAATAATATAATTTGCCCAGGCTCTTGAAAGATCCCAGCTGTTTAATAAACATGAAAAACTTACCTCCCAACCAGCCTGACAGGACCTCTTTGCCCAGTTTCTCTTTCTCCTCCAACACAAGGACTTCTAGCAGTCCATGTGGCTACCAGTGCAAACATGAGAACTGCCACAAATCAAGCCAGGCCGAACAGCAAAGTGAACTCTGAACAGTTTGATCCAAATTTTTCATATCCCTGTACTTCATATCACTTCCAAATCATCATCCCTGGCAGTAGCTTCCTTAGAGGAGACAGTCACAGCAAAACCACTGAGGTTCCAGCAATCAGGAATCCACAGGTAAAATTTCTGACACCAGAAGAACAGTAACGGACAAGCCACAAGGAGAGTATTTGCAAGAGCACAGAGGAGAGTTCTAAAAAAATGTTTGTTTTTTTTTTTTTTTTAAAAGTTCAGTATTTCTGCTTACTGTTACACAAATGTGTTATGTATGAGAACCAGAATCAGAATTCAGCCCACTTCAGTTTGCCAGACTAAAGGAAATTCAATGTTTGAGGCTCTTGAGGAACTAAGTCACTGAAGTTCTTTGAGACAGTTTCTTGCTTGTTTAATCTAATCAAACAAACATTTCAGACAAGACCATTTCATCAGTTTTTGACTGCAGCCACCACCTTACATAACACCATTCAGTACTGTTAGAGGAATCATTTCAGAAATATGAGGAACAAACCCAGGTAACAGCAGTAAGACATAGACAAACGTAGGTGAATCCCGTACACAAGTTCATGACAGATGAAGTAACACTCCACTAATTCAGGAAATGAAGACATTGTTTTTAAAAGCTCTTCAGTACCTGTCACTTGACTTCTGTTGCCTCAGGAAATAAAAAAACACACCAGGCAAGACACAACAGGGAGCTTTGAGCTTCACAGTCTTAAGTTGAGCTGAAAAAAATAATTGTATTTAAGGAGACCTCACCCTTTCTTCAGAAACTAAAGCAAGTCCAAACACCTTTTTTGGCCAAACAAGATAAAGACAGCTTTCTCCTGGGAAAAGTCTTGGCAGGACATCAAGTTGAAAGAATTTTATACACTGATATCAGAAGTTTAGCCAGCTTAAAAGCCAGAGACTCTAAAGCCAAAGAGCAATGTATTCCATGTGTAACTCAGGAAAGGTGCTGAAATATATTCCCCCACCACCCTCTTTTTTAGTTGAAAGTATTTTTTTCCAGGCCTCTGTGAGTTTGGATATGAAAACATTTGTTCACAAGAGGGAATTTCAACCTTGTAACACACCACAGAAGTCTACAAGATACACACCAAAATAAGAAGTACTCTGCTTAGCAGTAGCATTTCCTAGAATTAAAACAAAGGCACACAGCAGGTTAAATTCTTCAGCTACAGAGTCAAAAGCCACTGCAAAAACAGACCCTATTTTTCCTTTAGATGTAACTGATGTAGCATCAAATGTATTAAATCCTGACACAAGTCAAATGGGTCACAATTCATCAGCTACATGCACAGAGCCACCATTCTGCCCCAAAGGACTTCCAGACCGAGCAGGCACAGGCCTCACATACAATAATCACTTCTTGAATTAACTATTACAAAAACTACCACCAAAAAGTGACCTCTTGTAACAAATTAATATCTAAAAGAGCATTAGCTTACTGCAAACACTACAAAACAGTGGAACATTCCTAGGACATCAGGGACTGCTGTGGGCCTGTGGGGTTGACAGGTATATAATCTCTCATGAACATCCATGGGTTTCACTGCAACCTCTAAACTCCCCCAAGAAGTTCCCCAGGAAGAACTTTGTGGAAAAGACTCGTGAAAAACATCATCACCACTATCTCCCTTCAGTACTTCCAGCCTTTCCCCCTTCCAAGCAGGAACAGCACAATGGGGTAAAGCAGAGCTTGGAATCTCCACCACCACAGCTAAATGCAGCCAAAAAGAGAACTCAATTTTTTATTTTTGCTTTACATTTCCAAGCATCTCCCATTTGATACCATGGTAAACTGAATGGTTAACGAAATTATTTGCTCTTTTTAACTCAATGTTTACATCAAAAAGCATTCAAATACAGAGTCTTAAGTAAACTACTGCAACAACAATATTGATGCTTCTAATAAAGAATAACAAAAAGAGCTCAATCCAAGGCATTACTAAGTAGTTCAGTATTTTTCAGTTTGCCTAATCAAACAATTTTGGCTTAGCAGAACATTCACAAAAGAAAGAAATCAAAATAAAACTGACTTCTATTTCCAGTTCAACTGCTGACTGACAGGTCTCAAGGCAGCCTTTGATTTTCCAACAATCTTCTGACTACACTAGGAGGATTATGTTTACTTACCACAGAGAAAGCTGAGATTTGAGAAGCATAAAGTGCTGCAGAGAGAGAAATACAGGTGCTGAGTAGTAGTACTCCACAGAAAAAGAAAGAAAACTGGTTATTTTAAACAAGAAGTTTATTTAAACAACAAGACGCTTTACTTGAAGGGAAAACTATCTAGTATTTTTTTTCCTTTTTTTTTTTTAAAGAGTAATTTACCCCTACTTAGACAGAGATTGCTCTACATGTAACAGCTACGTACAAAAAAGTTATAAAATTGCCCTTGGTTTTACAATGATAAAGAAAAACATTGAAATTATCCAATCAAACAAGGTATGCAAGGTTTTTGTTTTTAAACAGTGAGAGCAAAATAACTTACTGGAATATAAAGATAAAAGTAGAAGGAGCATGCCACTAACGGAGAGAGGGGCATTTTCACAGAACCAGTTTGTTTTCCCACCCCATCTCCATTAAATGTTGATCAAAACATACCATTGGCCATTTAGTTAAAAAAAATATGCATTATGTCTGTGCACGTCACCAGTTACTTTATGTACAATAGAAGGAATAGGAAAAAAATCAGAGAGAAGAGAGAAAACTATACTGCAGTAGTCAGGATGTGGCTGAACCAAGTCTCATTTTTCTAATTGTGAAGTGTTGCCTGCGGGAGCACAGTTCTGGAGAGGAAAGTAGCAGGTTCTTTTTGTGTTTTTGTTTTAGTAAACTCCTCCTGTTTGCTGCTGGAACACATCAATTGTATCTTCATCCTCCATTTCCAACTAGAGCAGAAAAGAGAAAAAAGGCTTTCAACTCTTCTCAGATCCCTGCCACAGGCTGGGTTGTTCTTGCAGTTCCTATCTTTGTGTTTACTTTTTAACCAGACCAGCCCCACTCCCCTCCACCATCACCCCTTTGTACATTTAACCTCACTAACTCAAAAGCAAAGAAACTGCAGGGAAAGAAAATGCCAACTGTTGTCCTGGAATGAATTCCAGTGTTAACTTCACAGTGCATTGCACGACTCCTATGGAAGAGATTCACAATATTTTACTTCTGTTGCCTGCTTTGCCACTGCATCTTTGTTCTCCTATTTCCTCCCTCAGTTTACCTTAGAACACTGCCACAATTCCACTTGGCTGCTGCTGTTCAAACGTGCAAATGGCTACAGCACTGAAGAAGCAGACTGGAATTAAGGCCTCTTCCCAGCCAGGCAGTAAAACCAAGGATCAGCAAGCACAAAAAAAATTGAAAACTCTTTACATGTAGCCATGTGACAAACTGCCAGTGAGGAACAGCAATACTTCATTTTTAGAATTCTCTTTTCTTACTGTATATTTTTTACAGTTAATATTCCTGGGATGTTTATGTCCCCTACTGACAAAATCTCTACCAAGACTGAAGGAGCTGCTATAACTAATGCAAGTTTTATTTCTAAAAAGTCTCAACTGCTGTTCAGGAAATCAAACTGGTCTAAGGCATTTACCACAGCTATATATAGACTGATACCGAGCTTCAGCAAAACATGGATGGAGAGAAAAGCACTCTGTTGCCTCAATTATCAGTATTCCAAGTTAAAAAGTTGCATAGACTGTGGCCATTAGAGGCACATTCTTTGAAGCAACAGCTTAGAAAAGTTAAAGCTAAAAACAAGAGTCTCTTATTTCATAACAAGTGGTTCTGAACAGCAGATAAAACTGTATCACTTGGACAGGCTGGTTAAACACAGCTACATGGAGAAGTACAGAAAAATACTCAAGAATCACAGTGAACCATTCTGTTCTTGGAATGTCCCCTGTTCAGCCACTGAGAGACAACCCAAACTTCTCCATAATTTTATGCTGCTGAAACAGCTTCAAATTACAAACAACAGAAAATTACGTTTGTATTATATACTGTATTTTGCAAGCTTGCAAAGAGGATCTCTGATAACATCCTGGTAAGCTTTTATGTAAAAGATATAGCCATGGCTTCAAGAAAAACTCAGTTCTTAACCTACCATCCTTACCTCAGAGCCATGACTCAATAAAGTGACAGTTTTACAGGACCCACCATCTGCACACTGCACTTAATTTTCTTATTACAGTGATAGAGACTTATTACTCAAAACACTAGATAAAGTCCTGCATTCCACTTCTAACAATTCTAAACTAGTTACACCAAAATAATGGTCAAAAAAAATATCCAGTTCTATCACTGACATATACATTTACACAAGTATTTTATAGGAAACAGAAGCATCAACTCCTGCAGCAAACTTGCAGGGGTTTTGTGCAGTTCTTCAGCCTTGCTTTTGCTGTTTACCTGTGCAGGTGTGTCTGTTTCATTAATTGGCTGCCCATCGAACCGGAATCTGATTTGCCTCATTGACAACCCCTGGACAAAGAGAAGCAACACAAAGGGATGTTAAGTCTGGTGTAAAAGTACTCACTGGTTTGCTCTTGAACTTGTCACTGAATTGCAGCACAATCATTAAAAGCCACCATAATGCAGGACAGAGTTTTTGTACTCCCCTCATGCCCTGACTTTTAGGCATTTCACTCCAAATCCCTGCAATCTGTTTTGTATTAAACATTGCATTGTGTCCAGCAACCCAGAGAAGCAACAGTGCCCCCACTGACTGAGAGTTAAAATAAAGCCATTCCTGGTACACTCCAAAGGCCAGGAGGTTTATTGTGCTTTTGAATAATTCACTGACAAAACAGATGTGACACTCCAGGTAACAAATGCCAAACAGTGATATTCAATACTCCTTTTTGATCTTCCCCAAAAACAAAAGGTATTCTAAAATATTTTTCCCAGAAATTAAACAATAATATTAATCTTCAGCAGCAAAAAGTAAGAAATGGGAGCTTTTTATGTCGAATTCCTATTATCAAGAAATCAAATGTTTTTCCATGCACAGATGGAACTTCCAAATAAAATAAAGGAACCTTCTACTGCCAGTAGTATTTTGAATAAGCATTTCTACCACAGGACACTCATTTTGCTGACCTCTTCCATCCCTGTAATACTTCTCATTCTCACCTGAGCCAACAGATTGAAAAACATAACTTGGGAGCAACAACTGATAATATCAGCTAAAAAATCAGTAGTGAGTTTTCAAAGGTATTTTAGAGAACACCACATTCTGCAGAAGGTGAATGACATTTGGGGATACAACCAGAGCCTTGGTCTCTACTTCCTTCCCAGTTCTGTCTATTCCCTCTGGAGTATCTAAATATCCAAGAAGCCTCGTTGGGTTTTGAAACCAATCCAGTGGATTGCAGGGTCGTGCTTTGGCATCTCTGAGTTAGAACAGAAGCCTTCACTTAGCTTTGCAAGAGCGGATGTAACACACAAAGGAAAACAATGTAGTAATTATTTTTGAGGAGTAGATTTGTCAGGGAAACATATTTTAATAAATACAAGTAAACTTTTTCATTAACTTAATACTTCACAGCAAAATGCCTCCTCTAGCAGGACTGAGACTCTGCAGTGTTCACTCAGAGCATCCTCTGGTCTAAGAAAACTGTGTGGCTCAGTGTCATGGCAGCAACACGTTTCTGCACAGCAACATTTGGTTGGAGCCCTTTTCTCTGACATTATGTTACTTAAACTACGTATTTCCTACTCCCATGTTTATTGCAGGTTCCTGACAGCTTTACATGCTAAATAAATGTCAGCTGAAACATACTGAAAAGTTCTACTTTGGTGGGATTAGTGTCCACAAAACACTGAGTTTATGTTCCATGGATGATTTTTTCACCACTTAAAATAATCAAAAGTAGCCTTCATCTTCTAAACAGATCATTCAAGGTTTTAGTTACTTCCATTTTAGGTCTACTACACACACTAAATGATTTTCATTCTTTAAAGCTGCCAAATCCTCTACTGTACCACCTCTCCAAAGTGAAATCTGAAGTCCACAGCTGAAGGATTTTAAGCCTGAGTGTACCTAGTTAGGTAAATAAATACATGAACAAAATCTAACTTTTAGAGACGTGCAGAACAAATGCGTTTAAACAAAGTTTGAGAGGCACCTAAGAAATAAAATGTAAAGACAACTCCATCTCCACAGAAATATTCTTTGGACAGCTACCAGCTTAAAACTGAAATCAGAACAAATCTCTCCCACTCTCAAGATTTACTAATATTTTCCTCCAATTGACACCTGGGGGTTTTTTGCTAGTTTTGTTTTTGGATGTTTGGTTGTTTTTTATCTAAGCAGAGTAGACATTTTGGTGAGAAGTTCTAGAATCTTACTTTTGCTTGTTTCAAAGTAACTGAAGTATGAATGGTTACTTCTCATTTCCCAGGACTTTACAGACAAATAGCCACTCCTCAAACTCCCAAAAAGACAGATACAACTGGACTTTATGACTGGAAAAAGCAACACACAGTGATTTGCAAAACATAACAAGATTCTGTATGACTGAGGTAGGAAAAACAAGCTCACAGGTTCGAGCATTCACTAATTTATCCCCAGAACACTCACACAAGAACATATTCACATGTTCAGTAAGAGCTGATTTTTCTCTTTATTCATATCCTATTGTGGCACAGGGTAAGCCAAAGAGGTTTTACCACTCTGTGGGTGAATTGCAGTTTGTTTTTCTTGGTGATTAAACACTTTATTCTGACTTCACTTGTATTCAATAGTATAATTGAATATTTCTGTTGTGTTTTTTTTTTTTTAAATAAATTTCCAAATTCTGAACGCTTTTGTAGAGCTGGAACTTTTTAAAGGCAGACAGTCATTAAAAAAAGAAATCATGGAGAGCAGAGACAAATTTTTTCTTATCAAAAGCTTCAGAAGGAAATGTTCCATAGCAATACTCAAACAGGTGTTTTTAAAACTTGTAATAGCTGCCTGCAGCTGCCACCACACCAACAAAATACATGGGTTTTGTCCCTCAGAGGATTAATTTGTCAACTAAGCCACAAGAGAAAAACCAAGGTCATCATTAAATGGAGAAGCTCCTTCTCAAACCAGATATCCTCTCATGTCAATACAGTAATACTAAGATAATAAATCACAAGTCAGTGACCAGACCAAGAAGTTAATCAGAGCTATAAAAATCCCTGATTATCACTCAACCCTCTCTCCTGAGCTCGTATCAAACCCACCCTTTCCACGCTGATATTTCTGAGCAATAGAGCAGCAGTTGCCTCCCAACAGCCTCCACCTATAAATGTAGATTTCACAGATAACAACCCATCTTTATTTCACCCATTTCCTGCCACAACCCTCTCAGTCCCCCCTGTTAACAGACCCTCAGGACAATACACTTTCAACAACACAATTAGTTTCTGTTAAATCTCTACCATTTTGCATATTTACACAGTTTTAAGACTGCAAGTGTCTTCATCTATCCCTGTGGGGATCACTGTCCCCCAGACACCGGTTCTCCTGAGATCATACCTGTCGTTCACAATAGGCTTTCATTAGTTTACTAAGTGGTGTGTGCCTCTTAATCTTAAACTGCACCACAGACCCATCTTGCCCTGCCACCTTCAGATTAATGTGGTCATTGTTTTCAGTCTTCACTCCTTCCTGTGGAGGAAATAAAAGGAAAGAAAAAAAAATAACCAACACTTTTTTTAAAAGGTACGAAACAAGAAGTTAACATTTTACCAAAGTGCAACAGGTCATTAAAAAAGGAGGAAATAAAGATACTATAGCTGTTTACTGACTTGAAACCTTGAATAGAAAATAAAGGTCAGGAGTTTTTATTTGAAAATGTAAAGAAAAAAGCCACGTACAAAAAAAAAACCAACCCGAAATCCTACTAATATTAGCTGTCATTCTGGAGACTGGCAAAGTAGCAATGAAGGGTTACTAGGCCAGTCGTTTAACAGATTTTTTTTAAAAAAAAAAGTTATTTCTATCAAGGGCACGATAATATGCAACAGTGTTGCCAATGAAAGGGATGAAGTTATCTGTGTTATAACAACGATCTGTTATAACTTTGTTCTGTGTTATAACTGTGATCCCAACCAGCAGCAAGGCTCTTTCTCGCAGTATCTCAAACTTTTTCCTACCGGTTGAGGTACTTCTGAAGAAAACTTTCAAGATACTTTAAAGGGCTGTGTTTGAAAAGGTGACAAAACCTGAAGCGACCCAAAGCCTCCCCTTCAGAAGAGGTTTAAGAAACCCCCCCCTAACACGCAGCCCGACCCTCCCGCTCCCTTTGGGAGGGGAAAACTGCGGAGGAGCGACTTCCAGCTGGGTCCCTCGTGTTCTGGGGAGCAGGGAAGGGGATCCAGCCCGTCCCGCTCGGGGGGTACCCGGCACCCACATCCCACAGCCCAGCTTTGTTTTCCCTCTTCCCTGCGCGCCGGGTCCCGCCATGTGTCCGCTCCGCGCCCTCCGCCACTTCGAACTCGGGGTAAAAATTGTGGGGGGAGAAAAAGATATTTAAAAAAAAAAAAAAAAGGAGGGGGAAAAAACCCCCCCAAACTATCCAACCCCTCGTCCGTGTCCCTGTTAATTCCCGCGGTGGGGAGCGGGGCCCCCGCGCCCCCCCGGCCCGGAGCGGGGCTGGAGGCAGCACAAAGGGGCCGGAGCCGAGCGGAGACCGTGTGGGCAGCGGCGGCCGGGGCGGCCACGGGGATGCTGCGGCCGAGCGGCGGCAGCAGGAGGAGGAGGAGGAGGAGGAGGAAGGCAGCAACAACCGCCTCCAGACCTGCCTCTCTCCCCGCGGAGGGCGGGAAGGCGGCCCGGGCTCGCCCCCCCCTCCCCGGGGATCCCCCGCCCGCCCCGGGAGCCGCGGCCGCGGCCCCCCCCAGCCCGCGCAGGAAAATGGCGCGCAAAGGCGGCGCGGGGGCCGCGGGCCGGGGCCGCCGCCTGAGGGGCCGAGCGCGGCGGCGGGAGCGGCGGAGCGCGCCGGCCTCACCTTGGGCTTCTCGTCGGCCATGGCGAGTCGGCGATGCGGGGGCGGCTCGGAGCGCGCACAAAGGGGGGGCAGAGCCGGCCGAGCGCGGCGGAGAGAGGGAGAGAGAGGGACAGAGAGAGGGGAAGGCGGGGGGGGCCGGGAGCGCGCACGCACAGCCGCGGGACCGCGCCTTGCCCCCGTGCGTGCGCGTCCCCGCCGCGCTCTCCCCCCCCTTCCCGAGCGCGTCCCCGCCGCCCATTGGGCCCCGGCGCGCGGGGAGGGGGCGGGGCCAGGCCCGGGCGGGGGGAGGGGGGGCAGGAGGGAGGAGGGGAAGGGAGGGGGAAGGGAGCGCGCGCGCGCCCCGCGGCCGTTACATAACGCGGCGGCGGCGGGAGGGGAGGGGCGCGCGCGCGCCCCCGGGCCCGCGCTGCCCGCGCGCTGCGTGCGCGCGCCCCCGCCCCGCCCCGCGCGGCGGGCATTGTCCTCCGCAAAATGGCCGCCGGGCCGCCCTCACGGCCCCCTGAGCGCCTCGCGCCCTTCCCCAACACTCCTTCCCCTGGCGATCCCCCTCGTGTATGACCTCCTCAAATATTAAGTCTCCCCAAAACCGACTTGCCACAACCCTATCAGTGCCCCCTCAGTGCCCCCTCAGCACCTCATGCCGCTCTCCCCCCACACACACACCTTCCTCTGAGGATCCTTCTTGTCTCGCCCTCATCTTGGGCCTCCTCATATTTTAAATCTCAAAGCTGCCCAGCCACTCGCCAGTGCCCCCTCATAGCCCCCTCAGTGCCCCACACAGCGTTCTCCCCACACGCACCTTCCCCTGACCATCCCCAGCCCGACTGAACCGGCTGCCAGAGAGGTGGTGGAGTCCCTGTCCCTGGAGGTGTTCAAGGAAAGGCTGGACATGGCACTCAGGGCCCTGCTCTGGTTGACATGGTGCTGGATCATAGGTTGGACTTATCTCAGAGGTCTTTTCCAACCCAATTGATTCTGTGATCCCTCTCATCTCAGCCTCATCCTGGGCCTCCTCAAATCTTCCCCCCCTGCTCACGTCTTTGCTGTGTTATGGATGACACTGATGGAGGCTCCGGGGTCTGGCACCCACACGGTGCCCTCCAAACCCCCTGGACTGCCCTGGTAAGGGAGAGGTGCAGTGTCTGCTAAGGGAACAGAGTCCCTGCCACATCCCAAAAATACACCTTCAATTGAACTAAATTCAGTCAAGGTTTATGTGTGTTCTTCAGCAAGCTGAAGGCATGATGCAGCACTCCAGCAATTGCACTACATAAATTACACTATATAAATCACAGGATATACCACCAATGATGTGATTTCTTCAAGTTCATTCCAGTGGAAGGGAAGAGGAAATTCTCAGTAACTCCAGGAATTTCATAGGTTCCCACAAAATGGTTTTGGTGCCTTTTTTCTTCAGCATTACACCCACCACAATCACTTGTCCAATTGTTTCTCTACATCACATAGATGGAAAAGAAACACCCCAAAAATGACCCTTGTCAACACCTCAGGGATGGATTTCCCAGGTGGGCATCGTTCCACACTGGTGCTGCTCGATGTGGGAACGCACTCCAGGTCATGGCACAGAGGTGGCCATGTGGTCACACACACCCTCTGCTTCCAGCATGACAAAACTTCCTGCACCATTTTGGAGATGTTCCTTGTCCATAATAAACTACTGAAATAGTGAAATATCGAGTGAAGAAAAACTCTGCTTACAGGCAGAGCCCAGGCTGCCAGGCTCCCTTTTCACTGTCAGCTCTGATTCCCCTCCTCTGCCTGTGTTACTTCACATTCCAGCTCCTTCCGAGCGCAGACACAGGGATTGTTTTTTTCTGGAAATTGAAGAACAGTAACACCCACTGAGCAGAGGAAGTCAAAGCCAAACCTTTATCCGAGTCCACAGTTGAGAAAATAACACAGGGACAGCCCTACCTGAGGCAAGCAGGCAGCTGAACTTCCACAAAATACTGCTGTGAAGCCTTTTACCATCTCCTTGTAGTCCAGGCTCCCATATATTGTAAAACTTTCCCTCTGCTTCGGTACTCTGAAAGATCAAATTTAATCTAAAATTTCATAGAACCTTTCAGTTTTGGTATTTTACTCCTTCTGAAGAGTCTTCTTGAGTCAGTTCTGGAAAATTCCCAGGCACTGGATGCGCTCAGTCTGACCCAAGAAGGCAACAGATGCTGTTTCAAACTGCAACTGCAACTCAAATAGACACTCCTTTGAGCTGTGCTTCCACTCCTACCTGTGTCATTTTCCTTGATTTATCATCAAAAGACTGTTCCAATTACTTGATCCTGCCTGTTTTCTCTGATTTTAATTACTCATGCTATTATTTTTCTATTTATTTCAGTTACAGGGATTTGAGAAGCACCTGTGGCTAGAGAAGACAATATGTTTCAGTCCAAATCCCCCTCACATGTCTGATGGTTGATCAGTCTCCTTTTATTTGAGCTCTGAAGAGCAATGGGCAAGCCCTTTGGACCTTCTAAAGTCCATCATCATCACTAAGCAGCAGAACTACATGACAAGGAAATAAAGCACCTTAATCCCCACTCTATTCTTCTACCTCATCCATGGTTTTTTAAGGGAGACTCCAAACCCAGGGGTAGTTCAGAGAACAAAGGACAAGTGCCAATTCCCAATGGACCTTAAGTTCTATTTTTAGAAATGATGCAACATCTCAGAGAAATGTGAGGAAAGGCATCACAAGGCTGATGTTGCATGACCATCCTGTTTTATTTTGCTCTTGTCATTTCTTCCCCCTCCCTCCTTGAAGATCCCTGTGCATCTTTGGGAGGTGGGATGAAACTGGCCAAGGCCTGAGCAGGGCATGAGAGACCTGAAGGCAGGAATGGCTTCAAGCGAGACACACATTAAGGCAGCATCATAAATAGAACAAATGTGCTAAAAAAGACAGGAAAATACTCTAGATTTTATGAGAACATATGGGATTGCACTGCCACTGCAGGAGTTAGATGTGCTCAAAAAGGCTGCAAACTGTTTCAGCTGTACCAGCATCGGCCTCACCACCAATTACACAGATCCCAAATCACAGAGCAGGTTTCTACAAACCTCATCTCTGTGTGGCTTTTATTTTTACATAGCAACAGAGGAAACTCTGAGAAACTAGAGGCTCGGTGGAGCCGACAATAGGCAGTGCTAAAACCTGCAAAGGGACTGGCCAGCCGGCAGCACTCGGAGTGAGCGGCGGGGGAGAAGCCACACTGGGAACTACAAAGGCCAGTCCTGCAGGGACCGAGCTGCAGCAGAGGGGAGCAAAGCAAAGCTTTTTGTCCCTCTCAGCTCCTCCTCTTCAATGCACTGAGCTGAAGGGAAGTGAATAGGGAAGCATCCCAGTGAGAATTCCTGAGACAATTCCAACTCTGGGTGGGGGGGGGGGAAGTCCACGTGTTGTGTCTTAAAATATTTCCATGCTTTGTTTAATTCTTGTACAGCAGTTTTATAAGGAAGGAATATGGTGTATCTTGCAGAGCTCTTTGGCTTAATTCACCAGCCTCTAGTGAAGAGGATAGGGAATACAGGCATTCCACATACATTCCTTTCACACTGAGATTTTAAATCGTTAAGATTTTTAAGACATTAAGGCAGCTACAGGCAGAAGGTGTGTGCTCCTGCCCATCAGCAAGCATAAACCTTCGAAAGCAACTCCAGCCCCCCCAGAACTGTGTGTTACTTTGCACTGAGGCCAAGGCAAGGACAGAAAGCAAACAGTAATTTGGAGGCATAAACGAGTGCATCGAGCTCAGCCCCGACCCTGCAGGTCTGAGTGCTTTACTGAGGCTTTGCTCTTCATTAATTCTGGTTTAGCCCTGGGAATAGAAATTACCTTTTGCCTGAGGCCCTGCCTGTGCTGTGCCTTCCCCATTCACGATGCTGATCATTCTCCCTGTTCCCCAAATAGCTTCCAATCCTTCTGTTTCACAACTTCTAACTCCTATCCTCATCAGACCTTTTTTTTTTGGTTTTTTCTTTTTCTCCTGGCTGTAAGACAGCAATGCAGTTACTCTTTGCCTTTGCCTTCCTTGCTGGATCCAGAGCCTGTACTCCAAAGCCTTTTTGAGCAATGTAAAGTTCCATGGTGACACAGTCATTCCCAATTCTGCTTAATTACATGGACTGGACAGGCACAGAAGCCTTTTTGAGACATGAGCAGGAATGTTTCCCTTCTAGATATGTGCAGAGCTCCAGCCAGTGTTCAAAAGAGGACTAAGAAATGTCAGGATTTCATACTAAAACTCACCTTTCCCAAGATGACCTCCCCAGGAACCAGTCACCTTCCTCATCAATTTAAGAACACCAGATGCTGCAGATAGAAAAAGCCCCTGAGGCTTTTAGTGAGTGAGCAAAGTGGACTGCACGTGCCAAGAGACAAGCAGGAGAGGATCAGAGAGTTCCACCTTTCAGTGTCTCTTTACACAGATGGATGCTGGAGCAGAAGAGGACGCTGCCCCACTCCTAGATCCACCACCTCAGCCACCAACACTTCTCTCTCCATGCTGAGGAAGAGAAAAAAAGACCAGTGAGGGATGGGCACTCTCTAGGGTCATCAGGCCTTGCAATACAGACGGTAAAGGTTGGTCACCTGCCTTTGGGCTGCAGGCAGGGCCCTGTTCCCTACACAGTGTATATTCTATCTATATTCCGCCAGTCACAAGAAACTGATGCAGTTGTAGAAGCAGCACCTTACCCTTGAGGAATGAAGGCAGGAGGCCTCTTACTGCTGGGTTTTCATCCAGTTTTCATTTGTATCTGGAGCCATTTTAGATCTAGGCATCCCCACTGACATCCTCAGAAGTCTGCAGCATAGAGCAGCACCATTTTGTAAGACCAGAGCTGAATTTGACTTCGTACAACAGAGATTTGAATACATGCACATCCCCAATAACAAAAAACAGGACCCTCACCCACAATAAAAGGTGAGATATTTAAAACTCATGAGTCAGTTTCTCAAGCAGCTTTCTGAGCATTTAAGTTCTTCTACCCTGCAACAAGCCATTCCTGCTGACCTGAGCAGACACCACTTCCTTTTCTCAGCACGACTGGTGACACAACATGCTCTTGCCAGAGATAACTGCTGGCTTTATTTTTATTGGAAATGATGGATGCAGCAGCTGATAAGTAAAAAAGGGCAATTTAGCCGTGGAGTGTTGCAGCATTTGTCATACGAGGACAGCGGATGATTTACGCTATCTTGAAAAATTAATTTTTAAGTGAGCGTCTCTGAAAAGCACCAGCCTGAGAGGGACTGGTTCCAGCTGTGAGGTCAGCAAGACAGCACTGCTAATATTTGTCTTAAAAAGTATATCACTGAACAACTTGGTTATTGGGAGGCACAGGCAAAAAGTGAGGAGTACACAGAGGTGGGAAGGAGGAGCAGGATGTAGTTAGTGTTTTATCACACCAAGGTATCAAGGGATACTTAAGTGGCATGTGAGCTCCCAGCATCAGCAGAAAGGTGATGAGACAGCTTCCAGCAGGCACCTCTGCCCAGGGGGTAGCGACCTTCACCCGGACTGTGAGTAATTGAATAAGGCACAGCAGGAGTTCTTCCTGCTGTGATCCTGCTCCATTATGAGTCCTTCCCCAGCCCACCGGCAACTCACTGAAGTCACAGGGCACTTAATTTGATTAGGCAGCTTTATCAATGAGGTCACCTGAGAGCTCCAGAGAGCGTCACCTTCAACATCCCGTAGGCTCACGTACCTGCACGTGTTTTTTGTGTGCATAAAGAAATGAGAAACTGGTTATTACAGCGCAGTCAATGAAGCGAGCACAAAGACAATGCTGTGCAGTGACCAAGCACTGGGACAGATTGTCCAGAGAGGGTGTGGAGTCTCCCAGAACTGTCACTGGAGATATTCCAGAACCGTCTGGGTGCGATCCTGTGCCACGTGCTCTGGGATGACCCTGTTGGAGCAGGGAGGTGGGACCGGATGACTCCACTGACCAGATGCCCCTTCCATCCTGACCCATCCTGCGATTCTTTGACCCTCACGCCCAAGGCCAGCACCACACCCACAGCGCACTGAATCGCTCCTGACAGGAATCGCTCCTGACAGGAAAATGAGGTAGAGCAATATGGGGCGGCCTCCCTCCCTCCCTCCCTCCCTCCCTCCATCCATCCATCCATCCATCCATCCATCCATCCATCCACGCACCCCGTTCCCCCCTCGCCACACTGAGGCTCAGAGCCCCCCGGGGCAGCCCCAGCCCGTCCCGGGGACGCGGCTCTGGCGGGATCGGGATCGGGGCGGAGCGGGGCCCGTCCCGCCCCGGCGGGGCCTCGGCAGCGGGCGGTGCTTCCGGGGCGAGCGGCGGCGCCTGCCCCGACCCGCCGGCGGTTCCCGCTCCCTCCCGTTCCCCGCGCGGCGGCTCCGCCGGGGCGGCGGCGGCGGGGCCGGGGCCGGGCTCGGGGCCGGGCCGCGGGGCTCGGGGCGGGCAGGCGGCGTTGCGGGCAGCCCGGAGGGGCCTGCGGAGCCTCGGCGGGAGCGGGATCGGCCATGGAGGAGCCGGACACGGAGCCGCCGCTCGTGGTGCGGGGCGGGCGGGGCGGGGGGGCGGGTGCGGGGCCGGGGCCGCCGCTGACGGGCCGCTGTCCCCACACAGGTGGTGCCGGGCGCGGACCCGTCGGCCCGGCAGCTCTGCTTCGCCTGGGGCCCCGCCGAGGTGCTGGTGTGCGAGACACGCTTCGGCCGCGCAGGTGGGTCCCGGTCCCGGTCCCCATCCCGGTCCCGATCCCCATCCCGGTCCTGATCCCGATCCTCATCCCCATCCCGGTCCCGATCCCGATCTGGGTCGCAGTCCCTGGCGCTGACGGGCTCTGTTGCAGACGCCGGGGAGGGAGCGCCCGGCTCGTCCCGCGTGTTCGTGGTGCGCAGGGATCAGGACATCTACATCCAGACCCTGCGGAAACTCTTCAATGAGTCGCACGGGATCTTCATGGGGCTGCAGCGCAGCGAGGAGGAGCTGGCGGGGAAGTCGCGGAAGGCGCAGTGAGTGTTTTGGGGCGCGGGAGCGTGGGGGGCACCTCTGCCCCTTCCCCAGCCGGGCCAGCGCCGTGGACTGATAAACACCCCCAGAGAGGGATGTGCCACTGGCCAGGCTGCTTTGACCACCTCTGTAATCAGCAGCGGGACAGAAACAATGATCGTTTTGGGGTGATGTTACGAAACAAGTCTCCGATCCTTCCAAAAACCACGCTGAACAAGTCCGTGCCAGTGTGTAGTGTGGCACAGCCTCACTGATTCCAGCTGAAGCCACCCAAGTGCTGGGAGCCCCTGCTGCCCCAGAGAGACTTGCAAGGGCAGTAGGCATGAGACTAAAACTCCAACAGCTCTCTCCAACCAAAGCCTTTTTTCGCTTGGCAGGTTGGTTCAAGTGAGTAAAAACTACCGGTCGGTGATAAGAGCCTGCATGGAAGACATGCACCAGGCAGCTGGTAAGTTGGTTTGTTCTCCTACTGCAAGAAAAGGAAACACTAGTTGTGATGATAAAAGTAGCATTTCAATGGTAAGTTACTGCAACTACTGTACTATAGCATGGGTAGGTTTCAGTAATTCTCAGCACTCTACTTTCATGCCAGAAATTTCCAAATTAGTGTGTAAATCTGGTCAGAGATTATTTTTTTCCCCACAGTGATTTTTGGGGGACTTTAAGCCTTTTCATATCTTTGGCTCCAGTTTTACGGGAAACCGAATCCAGTTTAATAGCTTGCTTCCCCAGAAAGTGGGAAATGTTACTCATCTATGCCCTGTAGCCATACCCAGATTTGCACAGGATTTATAAAACAAGTTTACAAAGCTCATTTAGGTCTGTGCTTGATGAGTAATCGGGTATTATTGTCTTATTTATGAGCCTAGAAGGGGCTGTCAAAGGTAAATGTGTTGCTCTTTGATTTTTCTTGTTCCCTCAGTTTCAACTCGGGACCCTGCCCTGCAAGGCCAGTACAGCACCCAGGTAACCTGCATTCATGTCACACAGTCACAGCTGAACGTGGATCTCTGGCTGGTGAATTCACCAGGCCACCACTGAGACATAAAGCACTTTAGATTTAACTCTATCTTAGTACAGTAGATGCAGATCATGACCAAGAATAAAAGGAAATAAATAGTTAGTTCCCCTACTTCTAAAGGTGTCCAGCACCTCAATTCACTGCTGTGTCTTATATATTTAGTGTTATAGGTGTGTTTTCTTGTCATCTCAAAGCTGACTGACCAGAAAAGTTTCAGACTTGCCTGTCTGAACCTTCACCTCTCCAACACTCAGATTCCAACCAGCTGCATCTGAGCCTCACAGCAAGCTCTGGGTGTCCACTATGAGCTGTCAGACGGCACAGGAGTGTTCTGGGAGGAGCAGAGTGCTCACAGCAGTTTTGTCCTGTTAGCTGCAGTGATGTTTCTCCTTTGGCCTTTCTTCCTTCTCTGTATTATTAATCTTCGAAGTGCCAAAGGCTGACAATAGCACTGGTTGGCATTGCCCACTGCTGAATGATTATTGCTGCATTTCAGAACACAAACAGCATCAATACTTTCTGAGCTGAATGTGTGTGGAGAAGACACAGCCTTTAATTTCTATCTCTGAAATGTCAGTATGACATCTTTCTGTACAAAGTGAGTTTAACTGATTGCTATGGACAGCAGATGCCTTTGTGTGGTTACAAAACCCAACTGGAATAGTTACTAACTCTGAAACCTGGCCCTGCTTTTCCTCAGGTTTCCATTCTCTCTGCGATGGAGCTGATCTGGAACCTCTGTGAGATACTGTTTGTTGAAGCAGCTGCAGGTGAGCAGGGAACTATCCTGGTGTTAAGACCGAAGGGTTTTTTGTTTGCATATATATTTGTTTAAAATGTGTATGTCATCCATTATGTCATAGTTTAATATGTTTTAGAGATATGTTGAGTGGCAATAAACCCTTTAATACCCCTTCTGCCTTAGTTAATTGCCTTCTTCATATTGAATTATGTCAAGCTATTCAGTTTGCCCTCTACTTTTCCCCCTCCTGCATGGTACACTGTGATTTAAATTGTCTCTTTTATCAGATAGGTTATGAAGAGAAGACATATCAAATGTTGCTGCCAATGTATTTGACTTCTAAGCATAAACACATCTTTTAGCATCAAATATGTCAATGCCAGCTGACATTGATACAGCTCTGATACAACTCCTTTAACTTTAGGATGCCATTTCTGAAGTCAGTTTGTTTACACCAGCATTTTAAAGTAGTAAATAATTTTTTTAAGGAAATCAGAATATGCAAACAAATACGCTACTTGCACAGTTCCAGAATTCAGAAGAGATTCACAAATTACTTAATCTGAAGAAAAGTTAATCACCTAATGCCAAATTTCTTCCTCATGTTCAGTTAATAGTAATGAACTGACGTTAAAATAAACAGAAATATTCTATTTGTCTTTTGGCATTGCAGGATTTATGATCTGAGTCACTCACCTTTTATTTCTTCAAGTAACTGGTTTGGGTTTTCTGCTGGACCTCGTTGCTGCTCTGTCTAAAATTTGCCACAGGGAAACCTGTCAGCAGCGGGTGCTCCCACAGCCTGGCTGCTTAGGGAGCTCTGTAACTTGAGTGTGGGAGGTAGAAATCCAACCAGTGAACCCCATCTAATGATGTCCGACTGTTAAGGTTTGTGAGAGAGCAGTTTGGGAACAAACAGGTGGGAACTAAGAGGGAAACCTTGTCTGCACACAGCTGGGCCCCTCCTGCTTCGCCTCCTGGACTGGGTGCGACTCCACGTGTGTGATGTGGACAGCATGGTCCGGGAAGTTCTGAGCAGCGAGAACCCCTCCAAACACAAGCTCTTCTGGAACGTGGTGAGTGCCATCACCTACAGGATTCTTAAACAAAGAGAATTCGTGCCTGTGTGCTTTCCTTCCTCTTCCCTACTTGACACTAGACCGCACCTCAGAAGCTGGGACGCTGCTGCTCTCTGCCCGTGTAGGTTTTAAGGTGAAGCCATTCCGATCATCCTGCCCCTCATTGCCATCCTGAGCCTCCCACTTTCATGACCCATAGAGCTCAAGACTTACACTGTGTATTTGCATTAGCAGTTTAAGCATTTTAACTCCACTCCACTTGCCTGAATCACAGGTTAGAATTCCCCTCTGATGCCCTTCCCGGGTGCTCAGGGACGGGTGGATTTTGCAGGTGGATGTCTTTGTGCTCCAAGGCCGGATGGACGAAGCACGGCACTTGCTCTCCAAGGAAGTCACTGCCAATCCCACCTCAATGAACATGTACAAAATCTTGGATGACTTGATGAAGAAGATGCCCATGCCCAGTGTATGTACAAAGCGGATTTTTTCATGCAGTTCATTGGGAAAAGAGCCACCTCTGATGTGTCCCCTGTAACAAATTATTCCCCATTAGAACATCTCACTCTTATTCCTTCACAGTAACAATATTTGTATTCTCGAATTGCCCAAAGACCCAACAATTTGGGTAAAAGCCTGTTAGGTGACAAACCAATATAGAAGGATCACGGGTGGCCCCATGTTTAGCTTTTTATCAAGAACCACTGTGAGTTCAGCCCAAGTGCCCGTTGTGATTTGACTTGGTGTTTCACTTATTCCATGTTTCTTACCCTCTGTTCAGCTTGGCAACACCCAGACACTGACTGAGCTGGAGCTGAAATGGCAGCACTGGCACGAGGAATGTCAGAGGTTTCTACAGGATGGGACTTTCGCTTCCAATCCCCACATGGAGTCCATCTGCAAGGTGTGTTTTGGCTGGGAAGGAAGGAAACTGTGGACAGGTATTGAATCCATCCTTGTGGATTTCAGGAGCTCAGTGTAGCCATAAGTAACTTTATGCTGGATGATGTGTTCATTAAATCAGGAGATTTCAGGCCAGTCTAATGTCCTGTGTTCTTGGTTTGCAACAAACTTTGCAAGCCTGGGCAGATCCGTTTCTCCTCCTGTCCAAGGCCATAAGGCTGATGAGGAAACTGGGCTCTGAGAAGGATCTTTGTTATTTAATTTTGATCAAATCCTCACCTTTGCAAAGCAGGAGTGATGCCCCTGGAGAGTTACAGTGCGTCT